TGAATAATTTCAAAGTGTATCCGTGCCGCAATATTTTCGAAAATTGTGGGTACATGTCTGGGGGTGTATTTCTTCCGGAAAAGGGCTTAGCTCAGGACCCAAAATATATGGATTTTAATGTATTTCCCAGCTAACATTTCGAAGAAAACCATTAAAACTGTAATTCTGCTTGATTGAAACGTTTATTGTTCCATTTTTCTTAAAGCCGAAAAAACGAAATGAAAACAAAGATAACGATATCATTTTAATTCATACAACAAAAACGAACTAAAAAAAAAATTAAAGGGTTGTGTCCTAGACACGACCGCAGTATGCCGTAGAACCACACAAAATTGATGTTTTGACGTTGGATAACGTCTTTCGGCAACATACGGTGGTACAAAATTGAAAACAGTCATTTTGGATGCGTTACGAAAAATTAAAAGATATTGAACGATAATAACTCAACCGTCTCTCGATAGATTTACGAGATAATGGCATCAATCGATTGGAAATATTTCTAGCAATTTGCTGAATGTTTCAAAACTATTGATTTCATTCTGTAAACTATTGAAAAATGGTTAAAAGTAAACCATTGTCTAAAGATGGTGAAAATCGATTGATTTTTTTTATATTCTTATACTTTCTCCAACCGAGACATCAGATGCGAGTATCTGACACCTCTGATATTTTCTGTTCTACTATATAAGCGTCCAACAAGGTCGCCCGTTCCATCATTGTCAACAACATCAGCCCAACAAAACGGCCTTTTTCAGGGCCACCAAACTTTCGCAAAAGAGTTAGTAAGGAATATTCCTAAAATATAATATACACAATTAAGTACAACACATAACAGACGTTATCCAACGCCAACCCTGCGGTCGTATCTAGTATACAACCCTTCCAACTTTTTCATGCATTTTTGACTATTATACTCTACCTTAAAATTTTCAAGTATTTCGGTTATGGTTGACTCAAAACAATTTACACATTTTCTTGACAAATATCCATGTGAAATTCCACATGATTTTCATTTGACCACACATAAACAGAATCCACTCAGAAGTACACACAAAGATGAATACTAAGATGAAACTGTCGGAAGAAAAACTTTCTATTTTAGTGTCCTCTTTCACGGTTCCTTTCATCCAATGAATACCCCCCGTATTGTGGTTTTGCTGCCCCTTTGGTAGAGATGAAATCTCGCCTAACTTTTCAAAAGGTCCTATCTAACATTTCACTCTTTTCGAGAAAAACGAGGTTGAAGATTGACAAAATCTTTTTTGATACTATTTTAAACCAAATCAACTTTTGACATTTTTAAGACCTTTAATAGTGAAATGCGATAGTAAAATTGAAATTGAAATTATAATCTACCCGTTTCATACATTTTTTTTTCTATGAAAACGTGAAAAATGTTACAGAGGACATTTTGCTCTTGTCAGGTGTACATTGGACATGTTATATAGGACGTTTTGTTATAATCACAGTTACATAGGTCATTTATGTTTTCCACATTATTTGTTTGTTTTTAAGCATTATGAGTGCATAATTTAAGTTATACGAGTTAAACGAACAATATGAGTATTGGACAATGCATCAACTTTTTTTTAACGATATATCGCAACACTGCCCACAGATTGTTTTTGTCGATCGTTGGTGGTCGCGTGAGCTGCTTTTTATTTGATAACAGTGTTATTTTAGGGGCTGTTCACTAACTACGTAGACAGCTTTTCGGTATGACTGACCCCCCCCCCCCCCCCCATGCGTAGACAATTGTCCATATAAAAAATTTAAAATTGTATGGGCCGTGGATAATTGTCATTGATAATTGGTTAGGAGGGGTTGTTGAGGGGTGGGGAGATTGTTGTGAAGGGGGAGGGGGAGAGGTTGTTGTGAAAGGAGGAGGGGGTTTACATCATTACATTTCCTCATTGTGGTCACGCCGTGATCCACCTTTAGCCGCTGATTTGGTCCTACTTACTGCAAGACCAAGTGCCACGCCGTCCGAAGCGACAATGAGCAAACGCATGACAGCAGCGCTGTTTTATATCTTTTTCGGTTCAGAACCTGATAGGATTTCCCGCAGTTTTTTATGAATGGGGCGGAGCAGAAAGTTTCTTTTGTGCAGAATATGTAAAATAGGATGGACTTTGGATGTTAATATAATTGCATATATAGAGGCACCAGATATGTTTAACAGTCAGTTGTTGGTAATTCATCGAGTGTATGTCTCCTATTAAGCAATATTTTTTTTTTTGAAAATGTTGGCTCTGCATGTATAAAATTAATTGTTTATACATTATTAGGGTTTGCTTAAAATTTATTTCCCGAAAAAAAAATGATCGTCAAAGTCCATGTCTTTTTCGGGTTATTGTTGAGGGGGAGGGGAAGGGGGTTGTTAAGCGGGAGGGGGTTTTACATGCACGTTTTTTCAAGTCTCATCCCTTATTGTGGTGGACACGCCGTGATCCACCTTTAGCCGCTGACCGAGTCCTGCTTGATGCAGGACCTAGTGCCACGCCGTCCGAAGTGGTAATGAGCAGAGGCAGTTAGTTTAGTTTAAATGATCTTTATTTCAGTTTAACTTGGACGATTACCATATAAATTTTTTTTACTAAGTGATTTAATTGCTTTCTTCATCTTTAGGTATGGGCAAAATTCAAAATTTGTTTTACAGAATTAGTCCTAGACTTAGTACACGGTCGACCACCTTGGTGGGATTGGTTTGTTTTGTTTTTAGAATTTGAAGAGAAACTACTTAATACTACTATTGACAGCTTAAAACTAACCTACTCTACTATATACACTTAACCTACTATGTACAAATTGCTTATTAAAGCATGTTCAGAAAGATTGCATTTTTGAATAAATTTAGTTGTCATATCATCAATTTTGGAATCTACTTTGGGAATTTCTGCCTCTTGATGGAGGTCTGCTATTCTTGTGTCGAATGGACGATCTAGGATCATCCTCAACACTCTATTCTGTGCAACCTGGATTTTGTTCCTGTGGGTCTGAGCGCACGATTCCCACACCGGGGCGGCATAGAAGATCGCGGGGGCTATGATCTGTTTGTAAACAGCCAGTTTGTTTTGCCTTGAGAGGCGGGATCTGCGGCAAATGAGCGGATACAAACACCTAACCAAGGCGGAGCACTTAACTAGGGTTTTCTCTATGTGCGAGCGGAACAGGAGCTTCTCATCGAACAACATCCCGAGATAAGTAACATCAGTGGACCACTCGACCCTTGTACCATCCATTATTACGGTACAGGAGGGAGACGGTTTAAGTTTTGGTGATTGTCTGTGAAGGAACATGATCGCTTGGGTTTTCGAGGCGTTGATTTTGATTTTCCACGTGGTGGCATAATCAGTAAAGGTGTCAAGGCATCGTTGGAGCTTGTTCGTAATTTCACGAGGCATCCTACCCTTGACGGCTATCGCGGTGTCATCTGCGAACAGAAAGAACACGCAACCGTCTCCTAGAGGAGGGATGTCCGACGTGTAGATGCTGTAAAGCAGTGGTCCCAGCAGACTCCCTTGCGGAACACCTGCTGGGATCGGAAATTGTCCCGAAAGGGAACTATTCAACGACACCCTGAACGACCTTTGCTGGAGATAGTTACGGGTGATTTTCACAAGGTATGGTGGAATGTTGGAGTTACAAAGCTTGTATATAAGTCCGTCGTGCCAGACATTGTCAAACGCCTTTTCGACGTCTAACAAGGCCATGGCTGTGGACTTGGATACAGCTTTGTTACTTCGGATGTTATTCATCACCCGCACTAGCTGATGATTGGTGGAATGCCCCTTGCGGAACCCGAACTGTTCCGGAAGAAGAATGTCATGTTCCTCCACAAACTTGTTTAGTCGGCTGAGGATCAATTTTTCGAACAGCTTGCTCAGCGCTGAGAGCAGGCTAATCGGTCTGTAGCTTGACGGTAGTGAAGGGTCTTTCCCAGGTTTGCGGATCGGGATGATTTTTGCCACCTTCCAGATGCTTGGAAAGTAGTGCAGCTCCAAGCATCTGTTGAGGATGGCAGCCAGCAGCGAGTGGACCCTCGGGCTGAGATTTTTCAACGCTAGGTTGAATATTCCGTCAAACCCGGGAGCCTTCATGTTTTTACTATATTTCAGCGCTGAGCAAATTTGTTCCTCTATAATCCGTTCTTCTGGAGGTACGGCACAAGGGGAGGTATCTAACGTCTGGACGCACTGCACAACCTGGTTCTCGAGTGGACTTGGGATTGTAGAGCCAAGCAAATGCGACTGGGCAATGTGCTCCCCAATTGCATTGGCCTTCTCTTCGTTGGTGATAAGCCGTTCGTCATTGACTCTAAGTGGTGGAATGGGCTTGGGGTGAGACTTCAGCACCTTGGCAACCTTCCAGAATGGTCTGGAACGGTCGTCCAGGTTCTGAACGAGCCGCCCAAAACTCTCGTTCCGGATTGAGATCATTCTGGAAGCGATCTGCCGATTCAGATCGACCATTTCGCATTTACACTGCAGATCCCCAGTCCGCTGAAACTGGCGTCTACGAACATTTCTGAGCCGAATCAAGAGTTTGGTGTGGGAATCAATTGCTTGAAACTTACCCCTCACAGGAACTCGTCGAACGCACTCTTCGTCATGAGCAGAGGCATGAGAGCAGCGCTGATTTATATCTTTTCAGGTTCAAGCAGAATGATGTGCAACCAAGTGGTATTCGTTTGTGATGACTGGGTTTGGGAAAAAGGCTAATTTCATGAAATCAGTGAAAAAATTATCATTTGTATATTTTCAATAGTTTAATTACAGAAAAATTGGAAAAATATTTATTTCAACAGGTTCGTAAAGTAATATCCTATCGATTGGCGTATTTGGATTTTAATTTCATCTATAAATGACAAAGTTACAAGCGTTCAAAACCTAACACTCCTTCACCACACATATTTTTTGATTTGCACCCCAGTATAGTCGACAAAGACGTAGTTCTACGTCAAAAGACTTAACAAAAATGCCTTTCTCTACGTATTACTACTACGCATGATCGATATCAGTGCAATCCATGACTTTCTCTGCCAAGGGGTGACTCAAGCTTGATTTTTCCGGTTGGGTGGCAGATTCCATCGCACTGAAAAGCTCTGACTCAGTATGACCCCGAAAAGTCATGGCCTCCAGTTTTTGCATTACTCCTTGGAGAATTGAAATTCCGAGAGAAACTTCGGTCTTCACATCATCTAGTTCACGACACCAGGCACTATTCGATGTCCGAGCTACAACCATTCCTCGGTGAAGTGATTGTAAACGAGCTGCTTCAGACACAGCAGCCCATCGAAAATACTTCGAAAGCTCGATAGGCGGGGATTCCGCTTTCTTCAAATCCTCCTGCTTATGAGCTGGCGAAGAATTTATTGTATTGGCCCATAGTAGCCATGAGCTCTGATGGCCCTCGAGGTGGCAATGACTTCGGCGTAGCTCATCAGCCAACGCAGCATCATCCCTTGTTGAATGGGCACCCGCTCGGTCAGGATTTTGTGGCGCCAATATTTTTTTTGTTACCTGCTGGTACTGCCCGGCTGTTTCCACCCTCGATGAATAGGCATAGACAAATATTTTGACACATTTGTCTCGCCAGTTCGTCAGCAGCCGTGGTGTCAGAAGACTAACTGCATACAGTTTTCTCTTCACATCGTCTTGCAGAGTTACAAACTCATGCATGTCTTCGATGGTTGGTTCAGTTTTCTCCACCCAACTGGGAACGTCATTCTCGAACGTGACTTGTCGATCCATTAAGTTTTTGGCTTGAACCCAAATTGATTCCAGAATTTCGTTCACTGAATTACCATTCACAAAAGCTCTGTTTGTTTCTTTTGGGCGTTGCTGGCTGCGATACAGTCGACGGCAGAATATTCCAGTGAATGAAAAAACATATTCTTCACCAGATTTTTCCTCTACTTCACCGTTGGAATCATCGCCCTCCTCGACATCGTCATTCATATGCCACAATCCCAGCTGGTCGTAAGGAAGCTCAAGGTTGTAGATTCCCGTATTCTCTTCAGTCATCATCAGTGGATCTGGGTCGTTCTCTTCTTCCTCGTCCAAATGTTCTTCGCTCTCATAGGAACTGAAAAATCCAAATCTTGATTAAGCAATAAGCAATCAAAACTAAATCTAAATAAAAACGCTCACTCCTCCATTTCCGAATCCATTGTTGGAGTTTTTTCACATTACACGTAGATATTCTCGGATATTTCTAGTATAACGATCCACCATAACGATGAATAATTGTGAGAAACGAAAATAATAACAAATGCACGTAAAGTTGTTTTAACTCATTTTGAAATCAAAAATAACCTATTACCCTATTACTCACCATAATATTGAACTATATTAGAAAAGACTTGGGAAATGAGAATTTTTATGCAGAACTTGAATTTTATCAAATAGGTAAGTAAATAAAATCAGGGAAACTTGTTTACCATTGCAAAAAACAGGTTCAATGATTATTTGAGCGGTTGGAATAGTTACGTTTTTTTTTGCCTTTTACACACTATTGGCATGTTTTTTTTTTGCGTGCTTGTCGCGAGTGAGATGGTTGAGTTCTGAACAGTTCCCGGTTTTTGATTTTCAATCGAACAGACAATATAAACTCCAGTAATATGCGGCAAATAAATGGCTTTGCTAATCGCCACGGCAACATATTGGACCTATCGTTTGTCAGTGAAACACTTGACGGTGCCTTTTCCATTGACAGTGTAGACGACCCGCTCGTTGCTATCGATGTTTGCCATCCCCCGTTCGTAGTCACCTTGAATGACAGCTTTTCCATGCGTTTCGAAAATGACGACTTCGACTACCAGGCCTACAACTTTGCTAAAGCTGACTTCCTACGATTGTCGACGTTATTGAGTGAGGTTGATTGGTCGCCTGTCAGGAGCTGTTGGATATCGACACAGCCGTTCACTTTTTTGCCGTTTCTGTCCGCCAAGCAATAGAAAATGATCGGATACATCCCTTTGACAAAATTAGCGAGATTTTTTTATTTTGTTGCATATTTTATACTCAAGATATTTAATGTGTCCACGTGGAAATTCAATGCCCTCTCTAAAGTTGCGGAGCAGACGGTGAATACGACCGACTGAGAACTGCAGCAGCTGAGCATTCAATGACGGCGGCCCAGTATACCGGAGCACTGGCACCAACGCACTCGGCGTAGTTGCCCTTTCGCCCCCAGGCTCTGCTGCCGTTGCTCTGCTTCCGCTGCTCTGGTACTGCTGCTCTGCTGCTGGGTCGACGATCGGATAGACAATGATGGAACGGGCGACCTTGTTGGACGCTTATATAGTAGAACAGAAAATATCAGAGGTGTCAGATACTCGCATCTGATGTCTCGGTTAGAGAAAGTATCTATATCTATAAATATAAAAATGAATTTCTGTCTGTCTGTCTGTCTGACCCTTATAGACTCGGAAACTACTGAACCGATTGGCGTGAAAATTTGTATACAGGGGTTTTTGGGGCCGTGGAAGGTTCTTATGATGGTACGCGACCCATCCCCCTTCTGTAAGGGGGGGCTCCCATACAAATGAAACAGAAATTTCTGCATAACTCGAGAACTAATCAAGCAAATGGAACCAAATTAGGCATGTGGGGGCGAGTGTGGGGGTATAATGAGATAATCATAGGGGGTAGCCCCTTAGATAATAGGGGGGGGGGGGGCTACGTACAATATAGCATTTTTTTTTAAATCGGCGCATAAACTCAAGCTAATATTGAATCCCGAGCAAGACCGGGCACACTCAGCTAGTAAGAATATAAAAAAAAATCAATCGATTTTCACCATCTTTAGACAATGGTTTACTTTTAACCATTTTTCAATAGTTTCAGAATGAAATCAATAGTTTTGAAACATTCAGCAAATTGCTAGAAATATTTCCAATCGATTGATGCCACTATCTCGTAAATCTATCGAGAGACGGTTGACTGTTTTCAATTTTGTACCCCGTATGTTGCCGAAAGACGTTATCCAACGTCAAAAATAATGGTTGTTAGTTCTGATTTCAATGTTCATTTATTACAATTGCTCACTTTACGCCGTGAAGTATGCAATAGTTAATATATTTACATAATGCATGCTGAATGGTATTGTATTCAAGGCTTCCTGTACTAAAAATTAGTACATGCTGGATGGTATGGTACTGGATAATTTCATTGACATATATGCCTTTAGTGATCCAATCAAATTGCAATCACTTGCCGTAACGAAAAAAATCGTAGATTTGGATTTTATGTTTTGTAGAAGAGTTAATCAATAAATCATCAATTGTAGCTTCAACCTCTGAGTAAAACCGAGTGGACAACCGAATTTAGCTTGTTTTATGTTTATAAAATGTATTATTCCACAGGAATAACGGAGAACAAAACAGGAGTCATTTTGTGCGTAAACACGTGCAAAATTCATGGAAACGCCAGTCTGTAGGTCTGTTTCCGTACTTTCTTTTTTGCTTTAGCTTTCTGTAAGTTGCTGTCAGAAAATAATATTTTACAGCAAGTACGGGAACATGCTTTTGCTTTTTGCTGTACATAATCTTATGTATGGGAACAAACACGCTATTTGAAAACTACTCAAATTTGGGTAGAATCCACTCAGATCGGTGGAAACTGAAGCTACCTAAAATGAGTAAATAAGTTAGGACTGACGAGTCGAATTCAAGCCGATGTTGTCTATATCGTATATATTGTCTAGTTTACCCATTTATGGGAAGGTTCAGCGGATTTTACTCAATTTTGGTAAGTTTTACAACAGCGTGGATATCGTTTCAATCCTGTAGCGGTTCACACTGCCACCGAGGATTAATGAAATGAAGTTGTCTTTAGTGCTGCGTGCAGTACCTAGGTAGCAGTGAAAGCAGCTTAGTTCTGCAAGTGGATTGCAATTTTATGTAATGCAGAGGTGGATAAAACGCCCATGCAAAGAAAGATCTCCGGGTAATCTACAACATTAATCGATATTGGAGTACAATGCTATCGCCCCGTAAAGTTGGTAGATCACCTTGTCGTGGTACGTTACGGGATGTAAGATCTACCATAGATTCCTAGTCCCGACTGCTTCAAACTAGAGGAACAGGATTTTCCAGTGATCAAAGGAACACATCTTAGTCCTTGTTACTTTTTATGCTTTGTTGATAGTGACAAGACTCGGCTTTGTCGACCGAGGATGATCTTGAAACAACGAAAACTTGAGTTAGTTAGTCTTCATCTATGTGGTTCCTAATCTTTTATTCGTTGTTCTCTAGTTTGAAGTGGTTAAGACCAGGGTTACTTCCACTCACTTGCTATAAAAAGATGTTTTTCAGAATTATGAAATCATGCAATAGTATAATGTTAATTAGTACTTGTTAGTTACAAGAAGAGCTCATGAAGTATATATTTGACACATAAAATCTGTTAATATTGCTTTCAGTGCGTCACAATCAGCAATTTTACGACTTGTGAGCGCTCACTCAGAGTGAACGCTCACGAATGATAAGATCGCTGATTGTGACGCTCTGAAAGCGAAATTGACAGGTTTTATGAGTCAAACACATACTTTACACCCTCTTTTTGTTACTTAAAAGAAGAACATACCATTATAACATCTAATGATTGCTAAATTCCGAAAAAATATTATTTTATAGCAAGTGAGTGGAAGCAACCCCTGGTTAAGACTAGGGTTCTGGTGCATGGTCATTATCGGTGTCATTTCTTAATTTTATTGCTAAGGAATCCAATTTTGACTGACAAAGGGGTGCGCCTTTGGAGGGTGTTTCAATTAGAGTCAGATCCTTGCGATAAATGCAAGAATGACACCAGTAAAAAAATCGTATACTTCATCATTTCTCAATAGTGATGGAGTAATACGACATGCACTAAACTAAGGACACGGGATATACTACAATAGATCAAATTACTGGTCGCAGTGGTGTTAGGTCCCGAACAGAGGAAAAACAAATGCAATCTAATTGTTATTATTAGACTATTGACAAGATATTGCTATGTATTGCTTTAAGAAAATTATTTAATTCTTGCTTATTTTGGTAAAATAAAAAAGGCCAACAAAAACCTGTTTTCGCAATGCAGCGGGCCTAATACGCATACTGTGTCATGCTATCATGCATACATTTAGGCTTTTATCTATGTTCTTCCTCTGTTGAATTTCAATGGTTCACCCCTGATGCTTATGCTTTTCACACTACAATTCGCGGAGCGCATTATGCTCCACTATGAGTAACAAATTGTTTTATTGATAATAACTGCAATTTTTCTAGTAAACATACCAGTTGAGCTATGAAATTGAACGATGAAGGATGTACCAAACAACTTGAATCAATCAAGTCGTTAATTTTGGTTGCAGTGTAGAGATACCAGTTGTTTCATGAAATAACTTTTCTTGCGTGGTTGTCTGCCAAAAAACGTACTTCAATTTTAAAAATTTCAAATTAATTTCATTAAACAGCTGTTTGCTTTCATTCACATTGTTCGTTTGAAGTGCATGGGGGAAAAACTATCATAACGGGTAAAATGGCACCCCCCCCCCCCCTTTATTCTCAGCTGCAAGTTGATATGATGGCGAAAAATTACTGGCACACGTTGCACTTTAAAAGAAGGACAACGTGGGAAATTATTTATTTTCACTACATTTTATCCAAAAATAAACATACTGTTTCAGCGTATTCATAATTCTTAAAAATCTTCATGATGTTACTGAAAACATCATTCGAAAATATACATTTTTTCCCTTGATTTGTTTTCCGTCGATCTTCTTTTCCCGTGCTGGGCACCAATGCTACCTACGCCAGAAAGGCAGCTCCCACACCTGGACCCTACCTTTCGACCCATCAACTCATGAACCGGAGACCAACTGCTTACTTCCCTGTTAGTATAAATTTAGGTTGCATTTAAAACACTTTTAAAAGGTTCCCACTAACTCGAGTTACATATAGTCACACACAGTGAGAACCTTACAAAAGTGTTTTAAATACAACCTAAATTTATACTTATCGCATTAATGTATGCAACCTACATAACATCGAGCAAAAAGCATAACACTTACGAGGCGGCGCATTTTACTCCTGCCAGTGGCGCATTTTGAGAAGCTTTTTGTAAAATCATAATGATAGGATGAGGCTAGTCAGGAATTTGTTGATTGTTTGTAGTGAGAGTTAGGATTGTTATGCAATTGTCTGTATCTGGTAGGGGGATATTGTAGCTTATCACTGGTATGAGCTTATCAACCATCAACGCAGAAACTAAATGAATTATCGTTTTTGCTTACTAAGCAGAAAATCATGGGTTTAATTCCAAGCTCTCAGAATAAACCGTTGTCACTGGGTTTCGAGAGCATAAAGCACCGCATTTTGAGAAGCGTTTTTGTAAAACCATTTTCTCGGTGATGAATGTATATAGAGCATTTCCAGCCCAAAACGCAAACCGGTTGGTCATGAGTGTTTCCGATTTGAATGAAACATTTCTCACGTGTTCGCTGCTACTAATGGTTGCATTTTTCATT